CCATGCCAGGAACACTCCCTCATCCAGGCTTCAATTTCTCTACCTGTGTCTGGTATAAATCACGGGCTGCATTTAGCAGCCCCGTGGTACCTGGCACTGTGTGGGAGAGCGTGGAGGTTTTGGAATAGAGGAGGGCAAGGGTGCTTCCCAGCCATAGGGCTGAACCACAGCCTCCCTCCACAGCCCCAGCGGCAGCTGCAGCCACAGTGGGCCCTCTGGCCTCAGTGAGAGAACACCAGGGTCGCTTGCTCTTTTGTGAGCCTGGCTTCTTGGCGGGTCTGGAGGCTTCATTTATCAGCCCAGCAGGGGGCTAACCGGAGGCCCCAGCTTCAATTACCGCTGCCCCCACCCCAGGTCCCGGCTGGGTACAGAGGATCTACAGCAAGAATAATGTGCATGGCGTCCTGGGATGAATCATCTCGGAGGAAGCAGCTGTGTTGATGAAATTTTGAAGCCGACACGAGAAAGAAAATATGAACTGCACTACGGTAATTTAGCCTGTGAACACCCTGGCACATTTTTAATTAAAGCTATTTCGGAGTTAAATAGAGGCTGTGGGGGAGGGGTGGGAGAAGTGGGGGTAGGAGTCACGAGACTCTCTGGCCTCCCACTCCAACCCCAAGGACACATCACCTTACATTATCGTAGAGAATATTCCTCACTCCTGCTTCTCACCAGTGGGCAATTGCTCTGCTTTGCGAGGAGCTGGGGGTTTCCGCTGGATATGATTTCATGACAGAAACATGAAATTCACAAACCAGAGCCCAGAGGCTGAGGAGTGAGGACTGCGGATACTCTCCTGTCATCACCGTCTCCTTGCCTCCTTCCTCAAGATGCCCAAACACGGCCCCAAGCCACAGCATGGTGGTCTATACCGATGGTATTCTTGCTACCTGACATAGCAACCACCCTTATTAAGACAATCTTCCCGTGCCTGGATGAGAATCAGCTCCCTTCAGGGCCTAGGAGACTGGGTGGAGAGCGGCTGGGGCCGTCCCTGGCTCAGGCACCCAGCTCAACTATGCCAGATGTTAGAGACGAGGTTGGGGCCACTGAGGCTCTGCAGCCCGTTCCTCAAGCAGTTGGCAGTCGTATGAGGGTAGGGATGGGAATCCACAGGAAAGAACATGACGGGATAGCATTTTCCAAAGACAGATGACAGCCCAGGGCCAAGAATACTCAGAGCAAGTGCAGACACACCAAAAGGTGTGTAGACGATAGTGTCAGAACGCAGAGAAAATCTCTATGGAGAGATGGGACCTGGGCAGTGCTGGATGCTGCACAGGCCTCAAGGCTCAGCCTCCTGCACAGGGGACCTAAGGGAAGTAGACACAGCTGTGGGTGGGGAAGGCCTCCTTGTGGGTCTATGGCTGCCCCGAGGGAGGGAGGGAGGGAGGGAGGGAGGGAGGGAGCTATTCCATGGCTTTCACATTCATCTATAGTACAACTCCATGGCCTGGTTCAACACTTGAAACTGGGATACAGGTTCCCAGGGACAAAGTGACCCTAACAGCAGAGACAAAAGTTCAAGAACAACCCCAATCCCTGCAGAACCAGGAGCATGAGCTGTTCTCTGTTAGACGGTGGAGCATACTTCCTGTGGAAATGACAATGGGAGAAGCATCCTCAACTTGAAAAGGGCTTCTCTCTCTCTCTCTCTCTCTCTCTCTCTCTCTGCTTCTCTGCCTGTCTCTCTGTCTCTCCCCTCCTCTCTGCCTCTCTCTTTTTTCTGCTGCTCCTGTCCCGAGAGGCCAGCCTTCGCCCTCCTCTTCCCCCTTTTTATGTTCCCTTTTCCCTAATTAAAAAAAAAAAAAACCCTCCACATGAAAAGAAAGAAAGAAAGAAAGAAAGAAAGAAAGAAAGAAAGAAAGAAAGAAAGAAAGAAGAAAAAGGGCTCCTCGTCTGCCTCCCCACGGGGACAAAGGCCAGACTGAGGCTGACGCTGCCCAGAAACCACAGGTCTTGAGTTGGGGCCCTGGAACATGATGTCAGTCTTCCCTCAGCAAAGCAGTGGCCCTGCCCACAGGAGAGAGCACAGGAGAGCAACTCCCTTCCCTCCAGGCTGGATGTGGACCTTCTCCAAAGCAGATGCTGCCCTTCAGAGGTCCCTGCAGTTCGAGTTCCCTGGGAGCACTGGGGTCCAGGGAGATCTGCCCCACCAGGTGAGACTAGTCCCAGCAGGGCAGCCTATAGCGATTACACAGTGGGACTAAGTTCACTGTTAGGATATCAGTCTCCCAACAGACACCAGTGGACAGAGGAGGTCACGGTTTTCCTATACAGGGCAATGAGCATCAAGCCCATGGTCACATGGCAGCAGGGCCAGGCATCTGAGCTATTTCTAAGGCTGTTTCATCCAGGGATAGTCACTGATGAGATAAAAAGGTAGATTATTGAATCTACTTTTAAAAAGCAACCACTAGTTTTAAATGTTTTACATTGGATTGGACTTTTATATATTGTATACAAATTTTATATATCGATACATGAGATTGTGTTAATCCCATGGTGTATATACATTTCTACTCTTATTCAAGGTATTGTACCTATACAATTCTTTTTTTTTTTTTCCCCCCAAGACAGGGTTTCTCTGTAGCTTTGGAGCCTGTCCTGGAACTAGCTCTTGTAGACCAGGCTGGTCTCGAACTCACAGCCTGCCTCTGCCTCCCAAGTGCTGGGATTAAAGGCGTGCGCCACCACCACCCGGCACAACTCATTTAACAATGTAATGCAGGCCACCACCACCCAGCACAACTCATTTAACAATGTAATGCAAATTTCTAGTCCTTGAAAATTATTATTACTAACTATTTAGGATAATAAGGAAATGAAGGTTGGTAGTTAATCACCTACTACAATTAGGTGAAACAAAGATATATTTTAGATAGACAGGTCATCTTCAAACACTTCAGAGATCTACAGAATATGGCAGTTTAAGATGTTTTAAAAACATAGGTCTTTTTTTATGACAATGACACATGTCTGCTCTTGGCAGCATCAATCTACTTCAGAGAAGATAATGGGCATTAAGAAACTCCACATGGAGTTTACTTTCTCTGTGGCAAATGTAAGTCACTGGGCAAGAAGAAAATGCCCGTCTCGACTGCTGACAGTATGCTGTCCTTATGGGACAGGCAGGACACAAAAGAGAGTGACTGCCAAACACTGACAAGAGAAGAAGAGTAAGTCCTTCAGAATATCCTGCTTCACAGAAAAGTCTGTCAGATATACTAGGCCTGTAGGCTGAAGATGGATGCCCCAACGTTGCAGAGAAACTCTGGGTGACTGTTCAGGCAACCAGCTGTTTCTGTTATTTCTCACATTTTTTGGAAGTCATTTACTGACACTTTCTGCTTATTCAGTTAATATTATTTCCTTCTTGGGTCTCTGGGGGAGTTATAGCCTAGATAGTTATAGTTTTCCTTGTTTACCAGATGCAGAAAGCAAGTTATGATAGAAAGTAAACTAGGTACAAGACTTTGGGTTCACCAAGACAGGAGAGATATGGAGTATTTTCTCTGAATTTGTCAAATGTAAATGAGCTAGACATTGTTGGTGTACTTACTGCCTATATATATTATATATAGTTATTATACTTATTGCATATAATTTTTCTTATATTAGTTAGAGCCTTCTTTTTTAATAAATACTTTTTAAAGATTTATTTTATTAATTATATATACAGTGTTCTGTCTGCAGGTATGCTGTAGGCCAGAAGAGGGCACAGATCTCATTACAGATGGTTGTGAGCCACCATGTGGTTGATAGGAATTGAACTTAGGACCTCTCTCTGCAGGAGCAGCCAGTGCTCTTAACCACTGAGCCATCTCTCCAGCCTATAGCCTTTGTTTTACTTTAGACAAAAAAGGGGAAATATAGTGGTATATTATTTGTGTTTTAATAAATAAAGCTTCCCTGAAGATCAGAAGGCAAAGCAGCCATATTAGTCATCAAACAGACCAGGGAGTAATGGCACACATTTAATCCCAGGACTCCTGAGACAGAGGCAGAAGGACCTCTGTTAGTTCAAGGCCACCCTGGGCTACACAAGATTAAATCTGTCTAAAAGAGAAACAGAACTTACACAAATCCCAGCACTAGGGAGGTGGAGACAAGAGCGATATAGCTGGGTAGAGAGAGGAAAATAAAGGGGAAGAGACAGGAACTCAGTAGTGTGTGGAGTTTAAGGATTCATGGAGACAGGATTTTGCCCCTTCGGTCTGAAGATTTGGGAGAGGTAAAAGGTCTCTCTAGTGATTGGCTGCTTTTCTTTTCTGATCTTCAGCTTGAACCCCAATATCTGTTTCTGCGTTTTTATTATTCATGCTACATGGTCACTCAGAGACCAACAGGTATAAGAGAGGAGGGAGAGGCTAAGATTAAGCCAGGGTGGGGGCTGGAGGGACTGGTCAAGCTGGCTGGGCCCAGGAACCCTAATCAGAGCATAACCTCTCATCACCTGCCATCCCCACCAACAGCAGAAATGTTTGTCACCATCCTCAAGAAGGGCGACACCCTTTCATCAAACACCTGCCATGATTACCAAGTCCCTCACCTGCCATCCTAGTGCTGCTTTCTGCACAGACCCACAAGCCCAACTGTCTACGTGAGCAGGGTTAGGTCTGGGAGGCAGGAAGGTAGCCCTAACGAGGAGTGGGCTAGCAGGGGATGGGGGTTTCACATGGGTCTGTCAGAGGGATAAAGTGGACCATTCTCTCTACCAATTATGTGACCGTCCTCTCTGGCTGGGCCCAGTGCCAGCCATGTGATGCCTGCCCACACTGGGGAAGCAAGCAGTCAACATGACTGGCAAGACCTGGCCACCCTTGAGCCTGGATTAGAGTGAAGATTAGGCCTGTGACCAGGCTTTCCAGAGACAGCTGGAGAGACCACAGGGGTGGGGAGGAAGCTATGGGAGCTCCAGAGAAGCTGGAGATGGGACGTCCTCCAAAGCAGTGGCCATTAGGGTATAGTAGCCAGTACCCCTGTAGTCCACTTACCTGTGGGGGGAGCTTGTCACCCTCCAACAGCTTCACCTTGGTTTCCAGTGGCCTGATGTAGGTGGAGGAGGGATCTGAAGGGCAGAGAGGAAGAAGAGGGCATGTTAGCCACCAGTGGACCACCCCATGGGCAGACCCCAGCCTACCCTGGCACTCCCTCCAGGTAGTCCCTCAAATCTGCTTTCCAGGAAGATGATGGCGTGTTCCCGGCCTACATGTCCCGGGCATGATTCCTTCTGTTTCCAAGAAGTTTCAGGCTCAAAAGTAGTTGGTGTAAGTTAGACAAGGAGGACTTGCTCATTGTGAGGACCTGCTCAATCATCAGTCATGGAGCCCACTTCAAACACATCCCAAGAAACGATGTGTTTCTACCCACACTGCCCCTGCTTTTTCACCCCAGAAAAACAGGCAAAAATCTCACTACACACGGCCCTCACTCTGCTGTGCCCGTCTCTGACTACCCCACAGCCCCAGGTCTGCTCCCCCAGCAGAGCAGAGCGGCAAACCCATCATCATTCAGCCTAGGCTGCAGTGGAGGGCACCTGGCTTGGTGGAGTCAGGGAACAGAATTAGGAAACCTAAGTCAAGCAGAAAATGGGGGGCTGCAGGGCCGGTCCCAAGCACCCTGTGGGGCTGACAGGATGTGACACCTCACAGCCACATAGCCACCCACAAGACAGACTTTGTACCTCTTGGTAGAGACCACAAGGCTAACTGGCCAGCTGGGACTCTGTCCATCTGCTTAGTGAGTCACCACCTGTATCCCTACTCCCAAAAGATGGGGGATCCCCCAAGTACTTCATACTCTACCCCTTAACTTCAGAAGGCACAGGATGGTAGGCTCTCTAACCAAAACCAGCTACTGAATCCACCTCAGGGGACTTGGGGCTGGGGTATAAGCTCCATGGGCTTCTATAATTCCTAGGTGGACAGAAAGGGCTTAGGAGCTGCTGTGGACAGAAAAGAACAGGACAGGCATACCATGTCAACCATGGGAACAACGAGACATCTGTCCACTCTAGCACAAGGCTAGCATGACCCCAGGGGAGCCCACTCCTGATGTCCTCATGTCTCACACTGGTATCTTGCCCCTCTCCTCCACCCTCAGGCTCTAATAAGGAACAGATGTGGAGGCCACTGCTGCCACTGAGGAACTTAAGTCCCCAGGAGTGCCTAGGCCCACACAGGTGGACACTGGCCTGCCTGCTATGGACACCTTTTCTTCCCCAGCGGGGCCTGAAGAACCCTCAGGAGTCCCCACCCACTCAGCCTGGGTCCACAGGGCCCAGCAGAGCATCTGGTACAGTCCAGGCTAGGAAGAAATATGGGAACAGGGGTTCAGGGAGCAAGGCCCAGCCCACTTGGAGCTGGAGAACACAAACACTCCCCCTCATCCCCAGTAGTCACCTCTTAGGAATGTGGAGCCTTTTATAGAGGAGGGGAGGAGGGCAGCTCCCTGGTAAGGCCTGGCCAGCCCACCCTCAGGAATGGCAACAGTACCGGGCGCAGGGTGGCTCCACTGGGGTGATGCTGCCTTGGGGCCCACCACATTACACAGCTCCACACAAAAACTAGAGCTCCGAGTTTCCAAGAATTTGAGGGATAGGTCCCTCACACACAGGAGATGTAACTCAAACAAACAAGCCTTTGGGACCACCCTGGGCAGAGCTTTGGAGAGGAGCAGCTTACTCAAGTAGAGGCACGAGAATTCCTACCTACCTCTCTCCTGGATTCCCTGCTACATAAAATTCCCTGGCAGGGCTGCAAACACACACATATATACTCAAACTCACTCTCTCTCTCTCTCTCTCTCTCTCTCTCTCTCTCTCTCACACACACACACACACACACACACACACGGGGTTCCTAGGCATGGTCCCGAATTCAGACGAAGATCCAGCCAACAGTACCAAGTAGTGGTGGTAACTAGCACCCCGTCCTTTACAGCCACAGAATCGTTCAGAAAGTGAGCATGTCACCCATCCATCTCCCTCCGTGGATTCTGGTGGGTGGGCAAGAAGCCTCCAGCATTTAGCATCTACCCTTTCAGTCAGTGGTGTGGCTCACATGAGGAACATGTGATTTTTTTTTTAACTTATGCTATTTCTAGTCAATTTCCAAGTAATTCTAGAACAAGAAGAGATCTTCCTTTTAAATTAGAAGAGTGGGTTAAATTATAGTGCCTTCCCACCCCCCCCCCCACACACACACACCAGTCACTCAACTTTGAGTTCTCCATGTGTGACCCTGTCCCCATCCTGTTCCCCAAACTAGACTCCCACCATGGGTCAGGGCAGAAAGGAAGAAAGAGAGAAAAGGGGTCCTTCCAGGCTGGGGCTAGAGAGCTGGACACTAGGTCCCTGAGAAGAGGCTCCCCTTTCTCATTGGCCCTAAAAGTCACCATGAGCTCATCAGGTACCTCCCAGGCTCCAGGAGATGAGCAGGTAATTAAATTAATCCCAAGGCCTGCAGTAATGAGGGCTAGGCCACAAGGGAGAGAAACACCACTTCCCAGCTAAGCCGCTTGTAGGCAAAACGAAGGAAGTGATCACGGGAGAGGCTTGTGATGAGCTGGCTGAGGTGTGCTCTGGGACCCACCTAATCCTCTTGGCACCCATCTGTCCACTCCTGGGAGGGTCCTGGTCCAGCTCCTGTACAGCTCACTTCCTGGGTGCAGACTCCAGCCCCTGCTTCTCCCTCCTCGGGCATCCTCTGATCCCTAGGGAGCCTGTGGATAGACCTCTGCTCTAGCTCTGTCTGAAGAGCCCTGAGCTTGTCCTGCTGATGACCTTCAGGCCACAGGAGAGGCTGGGTCACATGGCCCTTATGGTTTTCCCTTCTTGCCTTCTCCTCCTGGCTCTGGGGCCATGGACTCCCGCTGGCATCTGCAGCGGTGGTGACTCTCACAGGACCCAGCAGCCAGCATCCTAAGGAAGGAGGACCCACCGCAGGCACTGCCCTTGGGTTTCAGAAGGCATTTCCCATGTCTGCTTACCCAGCTGAGTCTCCAAAGTGCTCAAGTCAAGAAATGGAGTCCAGAGGGCTATCTAAGTTATCTACCCCAGAAGCCTGGGGAAGGAAGTGGAGTCGCAAAAGATGGAAGAAGCCAGTTAAAGGGCAGCCATGTCAGCTAGCCCATGCACCAAGGGCTCTGAGGGGCAGGGAGGGAGCACCAAGTGCTGTCCACTTAGAGTGTGGATGGGGAGCAGGGCGGGGGTGGTGGCAGAAAGCCTCAGGAGGGTCAGGTGACGTGGGGAGAATGCTCAGAAGCTGTGAGGGCCTGAGGAGAGGGGCAGGAAGCCAGCAGGGTCCCCTGCAGCGGAAGAGAAAGTGGGAAGGAGGTGGAGGTTCAGTGGCTGCCTCCTCCCTGGGTTCCCCACCAGTGCTGCCTTTCTTCCAATCCTTCCTCCTGAGCAAGGTCCCCCAACTTTATCACCGCTTCCCTGACAACCAAACCTCACGGCAGATCATTTGCAGGTAACCTGGGCACACGGTGCCACTGGCCCCTAGTCCCCTCCATGGGGACTTGTGTCCAGCAGCTATAGGGGACTGCAGAAGTGGGTTCACGGTGCCACTAAGCCACCCGTTCAGTTGACTTAACTGTCTCCTTCCACTATTATTAGGAGGAGTCAGCAGTTCAGCGGCAGCCCGGGACTGGCGGTTGTATAGGTAGGAAGGGTGACTTTAAGGAAGGACCTATGTCAAGCCTGACAGTGGTGGTACATGCCTTTAATCCCAGCACTTGGGAGGCAGAAGCAGAAGAATCTCTGTGAGCTCGAGGGCATCGTGGTCTACAGAGTGAGTTCCAGGACAGCCAGGGCTACACAGACAAACCCTATCTCAAAAATTCAAAAACAAAAACAAACAAACAAAAAGACCTATGTCATTCACAGGTTCCGTCCGTCCCTCTCTGGCCTGGCAGGATGAAGGCTGCTCCAAAGCAGTTCACTCTTCCTTCCTTCCTTCCTTCCTTCCTTCCTTCCTTCCTTCCTTCCTTCCTCTTCCTTCCTCCCAGCTGGACTTGCCTGTGTAGGGGAAGACACAGCTTCCATACATATCTGCATATAACAAGTGTATAAATGGAGAGCCTGCAGCAGCCTGACATATCTGGTGCTGGGACAAAGCCCAACCAACACACAGCCATAGTGGGTAACCAGGCCAGGTCTGGGGGCTGAACATCCCTACCCCATTACCATAGAGCAAGCCTCTGTCCGTGTTATCTACTTCCTCTCCTGGATGCACTCCTCCCAGTGTGTGCAAGTCCACTCTTCTCACAGGTTCCCCTAGATCTTACACTGCATAGGGAGGTGCCGTTCCCTTCACAGAGTACAGCAACAAAGCAGGGATAGCCAGAGTCACGAAGGCAGGACAGGGCAAGTGAGGACAGGCCCAGACTCTCCTCGCAGGGCTCTTGGAACCCCAGCTCCAGCAGTTCCAAGCACCAGGGTCACCATCAAATATGACCTTTCAAGCAAGAACCAACAAAGACCACATCTACTTATGGAGTGCCAGCTACGCATCTCCCAGACACCAGTCTCCACTTTTCATTGGTATACACCCCCAACCTACAGATAAAGGAACTGAGGCTCTGGGAAGTAGAATGGTAACCATAGGCCCTGGGAGCAGCAGGCTAGATCTTCCTGCAGACACCAGGGCACAGCTGCGGCCTCCTCTTCCCTGGGCAGCCTTCCTCATCCTGGGCTCCATATGGCAGCAAAGGCCACCCTGACCACACTTCCTGCAGTGCCCGCCCTGTTCAACAACAGATGGTCCTGGGCTGGCATTCCGGGTAGCTGATGCCCACATGCCAGGTCAGAGAAGTTGGCGAAGCTACACGATCCTGAGTGCCCTGCTCTTTCGCTGCCAGAGCCCTTGTACATCTCCCTGGCAAGCCCCAGGGTGCTCTGCTTATACAAGACCACTGAGAAGAACTACCAAGTCTCACAACAACTCAGGCTACCAGAGAGGGCATGAGCTCCCCTATACCTATCACTAGGGGAGAGCAACCAAATGCTGAACAGTCTCTGCAGGGTAGAAGTCTCTGGACACAAAAGATTCCTAGCAAATCTGTGGC